GCCTAGTCTACACTTGACTTTTGAGATACTCAACTATCAGAATATCTACTCTCTCAACTCTGTAAATTGTTCTGACATTGACCTCCTTCCTCTGGAAATTCTTTGAAATAAGGGGTCACAGTGTTCTTGGTGCTTAAGTTCTAATTCTGTTTAGAGCCTTGTCTGGGCTAGTCCTATTGGATACCTCCTTGCATTACTCTTTAGTGGCCAGTCTTCTCTGCCTTATTCTGGGTGTTTTCAAGAGAAAATAGCGATCAGTGACAGAGAAGGCAGGCAATTAGACTGATCAGTGCCCAGGGCCTCCGGGTACCAGGCAGCCAAGGATGACAGAACATCTATTAATCTTATGAAACCTGCCAGGCCCCTGCTCATTAGCACTGCCCAAATGATCATTACTGGCTAGACAGAACTCATTTCCCAAGAAGTGCTCTTTAGTTCTTGACCATTCTCATTCCCAAGAGAATCATCAGCTCTCAGGAACTGAGGGTTCCTGGATTGGGTGGAAGATTACTTTATCTCTGTTAGTTTCATCTTTGCTCTTTCAACAAGCATTTGAGCATCTTACTCTGTACTGACAAGAACTGCAGAGATGCTAGGAAATAAAGACACTGTGTACATCTATCTGATTTGTACTCAACTAACTTCCTTTGAAGTCTGTTTCTCAACTGTTTTCCAATAACAAAAGAAAATTACACATGAAATAGTAGAAACTACACAGGCTCTTGTATCAGACAAAAACCGAGTATCAATACCAACCCTACAACTTCAGCATGCATTTTAACCTTGTTGGGCCTCAGATTTTTGCAAATTAGGAATTAGACCAACCTTCCAGGACTAGAGTAAGAAGAAGAGAGCGTTAAGTGCCCAGTATAATGGATAACACTAGAAAGTATTTAGATAAGAAACAGGAAAGGCTCTCCATGTTTACTCTCGGTATGCACTCCAACTTTACCTTAGACTCTATGTGGACTCAGGTTATAGATAGTACATGTGACAAACACCCCTTTGAAGTTGTAGGGGTAATATCAAGGAGTGGGTAGGTGACAACCCTGGGCCTACAATTCCTAATCGTTCAGTAAAATTAAAACAAAAAAAAAAAAACAAAAACAAAAAAAACCAACCCTGTTTCCATCAAGTTTATTTCAACTCAAAGATTCCATATGACTGAGGAGGACTGTCTAACAGGGTTTCCAAAATGCTAACCTTTATGGAAGCAGCCAGCTACATCTTTCTTGCACACAGCAACTAATGGGTTCTAATGATCAATCTTTAGTTTAGTAGCCAAGCATTTGGCCACTGCCCTACCAAGCCTGAGACAGAACTGTCCAATCTCTGTAAGTAAGTTTCAACCATAGCAGCCATTTAAGACAGAGAGTAAAGCTATCTCATAGGGTTTCCAATGTTATAATCTTTATAAAGCAGACTGACCCATCTTTCTCCTGAGAAGCAGCTGATGCTGGGTTTGAAACATCAACCTTTCAGTTAGCAGCTGAGCTAGTTAACCACTGCACCACCAGAGTTCCTGTGAATTCAGGTTTAGAGACTACTTTTTATGTCTACTGGTGTATTACTCAGCTTGTCACATCAAAAATGGCTCACAGTTGATCCCCCAGCAGGTTTTCAGAGGCTGTACATTGCCCAAGAGACTGTTCATCTTTTTTCCCATGGAACTGGTGGATTTGAACTGCCAGGGAAGCACTAGAATACAAGGCTAGAGCTCCCTACAGTTCTATTAAGTAGCATAACAAAGAGTAAAACAGTTTTTTTTTTAAATTCTAAGGCTGGTGGTTCTCTCTACTGCACTTGATTGCTCTCACCAATCCCCTATTACCACAGGAAGACTGGTGATCCTGGATTTGAGGCTGATACATCACACAGCTTTAAGAGTCAATCAAACAAGCATTTCTGACCATAAAGGGCCCTTTAAATGTGTGATCACATAAAGGGAACACAAAGGGCCCTTTCACAGATAAAAATATGGTACAGTCCTGGCAATCATTGTGAACACTTGATATTAAGTGTCTATTACATCCCAGGAATAACACTAAGTTTTCAGTGTATATTTTAGGAGGAAAGTGATTGGTGTATCATGCCCATTTCAGGGATGTAAAGGCTTGGAGTGACCTAGCCAAAGACAAGAAAATGAAATGGCAGAGCTGGGACTGACTGAGACCAGAGCTTATGTTCCTGAGACCAGAGCTTATGTTCTCACCTGTGGCTGGGTCCACAATGATCTTATGCTGAGCACAGCCCAGGGTCTGAAGGCCAGCCTCTTCTTCTGTCTTTCTACCTCTTTTCTGACACTTCATGCCCTGTTAAGGGCACACTCTAAAGTCCAAGAGTAAGTCAGCACTTGCTATGAGTCTGAACAATGGCCCCTTCCTCTTCTCTTGCCTTAAGGAGCTGGTTCCTTAAAGTAATAATGTATAATGTGGCAAGATTAGTCACTACTTGTTGCTGTTTGATTACAGCTATTCTTTTCTGTAAATGAAGTTCAAAAGTCATCAAAGGGTTTGTCAATTGTGACTTATGAGCCTCTCCCACACAGAGAAGTCGGGCAGTGACAAATGCCCCTCTCATTCCACCATCAATTACAAGTCGGAAGGTGCCATGTTCCAATTACTGGAGACCTCGATGGAGCTCCTGAAAAACCCGGCCCCAGGCTGCAGCCATTATTCAGGCCTGGCAGGGATGCCAGTGGAGCTGCCCCAGGCCCAAGCCTTACTAGGCAGGAATGGAATAAGAGCATGTTTCTGACTTTATAAGCCAGCCCCCTCCATTCTTTCTTCTAGAATATCTAGTATTTTATCCTAGACATACTACTCAGACTAGTAAAAACATGGGCACCATGTCAAATGACTAAGAGAAATACACGAAGACATACGGTAATGCTGCCAGTTTTGGTGTAGAGTAAGATGCTCAGAAGGGAGAAAAGAGAATGAAATGCTGAGAAAGCAGAGACAAAAAGGATCTTAAGAGATTATCCAGGGCTATCAATTGCTTCACTACAGAATAACTATCTTATGTCAAATCCAGTCTAGATGCTGGAGAACCAAAGATGAATAAAGTACAGTGCCTGCCAGTAAGGGCAAGAGAGCTAAAAAGAGGCCTGCTCAAGGTCACAAAGACAGGGACAGTGACTGGATGAGGATGGAGGTCTCCAGACTTCCAGTGAAGCACAGAAAGTAGAGACAAGGCAGTCCTGTGAGTCAGGTTCTTTACCAAGCGTGAGACACAGTAGTTAAAAGAATCAGCTCCAAATCCAATTCTACCTGCATACTTACTAGATGGTTGGCCTCTGGCAAGTCATTTAGCAAGCAAAGTCTCAGAAAAATGGAAGAAATAATAGAACCTACATCTGAGTCTGAGTTATTGTGAGGATTAAATAACATGTATAAGCAGCACAACAGCAGGCACATACTACATACTCCCAAAATATTACTTATAATAACCATCATATAATCCCCAAAACAACTTTTGAGGTCAACATTACTAATTACATTTTACAGACAAGACTGAATCTCTTTTTAAATTCTGTCACACTAAGCCAATGCCTATCAAAATTATTTGTGGTGAGGATTAGTTTTTGTCTACTTTGTTTTTTAAAACTATTATAATCCAATAGATTTATAATATACACTAAAAGTATAACACTACTACAAAAGTTACAAAACTTAATTTCTATAGTTACTGCAAACCACCAACAATTTGCCATTTGGCATCCATTCAATGGGCTACAATTGCTCTAAGCCATCCTTCACTCATCCAGTCAACCTCTATGAAAAGCAGAACAAATGAAATGAAGCGATTTACATCATTTCTTTCAATTCCTTTAGCCAGATTTCTTTTAGATTCTAATGCCAGAATAATTTGTAGAAACCATCCTTTCCTCCTAAAGTAAAAAGCTGATGGGCAGAACAAAGATGAATTCAAGGCTTTGCCATTGAATAGTTTTGAAAGTGATAGATCTATCTGGGTCATCTGTTTGAGGTCATGCTGCATTCTATTAAGGGAAGGTAATCTAATAGTCCCAGTCACCAGTGTCTGCTTACAA